CCCCCCCCGGACCGTCGACCTGGCCGCCCGTGGCCGCCGGACGAGCCCGCCGCTGCAGCCTCCAGCAGGCCCGCCGCGCAGCCGTGCCCGGCGGGGATGCCTACCCGGAGGACCGCAGGCGCTGACTGCAGCCCGCCGGCTGTGCGCGGGGCCGGGCGCGTGGGACGCAGCAGTATGACTGCATTCGGAACCCGAGTGTGTGAATGTCGCACACTTGTAGGTGTGTGCGTGTGTGAATGCCATTCGTGCCCAGCGAGGCACGAGTGTGTGAATTTTCAAAGAAAAATTTCACTCGCTCAAGTGTACAAATGGGAATTCACACAAACCAAACCAAACCAAACTGTGCGACATTTATTCACACACATTTGCGTCTCAAGAGTGTCGTCACATTGCTTACAACATTAAGAATGCCATGTAGTAGCTTTTTGTACACCACGGGTCCTTACTCAAGGATTCCTTATTTCTTCCACTGCATAAACGTTCATAGACAATTCAAATTTTCAAATTTTCTTTTCACTTGTTGCCGTAAAATTAAAATTATATAGTTGCGGTAACGGTTGCTCACCTGGGCCGCTGGATGCGCCGTTGGCCGCGCCCCTCACGGGCGCCAGCTGCGGGTGGTCGCCGGGCCCGCGCAGGGGCAGCTCGTCCGAGGACTCGGCCCACACGTCCAGGATGGAGGCGCGGCAGCGCAGCGCGCGCGGGCCCTTGGCGCTCAGCTCCACCCGCAGCGAGCTGCTGCTCCACTCGTCCAGGTCCGGCGGAGGGCCCGGGGGCGGCAGCGAGGGACCCGCCGCCCCGGGGACCTGGCCCGGGCCCGCCGGGCCCACCGCGTGGAAGTGCACGGTCGGCGCAGTGTGCTGCGGACAGAAAAAACAACAACATTGCATTTCAGAAGAGTTGTTCCTTTTCAGGCAGTCCCTTCTAGAAGGCAAAGTCCCCTCGCCCGTTCCAACTCCGGTACTTAAACCAAGTACATGTACTAGAAAAACCAAGAACATGTGATTTTAAGGCAGCATTGGCTCGAGCATAGCACTGGATCCTGAAGGTAGCTGTTCTTGAATCAAGTACAATGCTGCCGCAAAATTGCAGGTTCTTGTCTCTTCTAGAACATGTACTTGGTCGAAGAACTGGGTGTTCTGGGTGAACCTGCCCGCTACACACTCGAGGGCCCGCTCGGTGCTATATAGAGAGTATGAGGAGGGGGGGGGGGGGACTTTGCCCTCTGATAGAGACAGTCGTAGGGGACTGTCTAAAAATAGGACGCTCCAAAACCTTGGGCCACGGGTGGCCTCACGGTTAGTCAAATCAAGTCAAGTATAATGTAGTACAGTAGTAGTACATGATAGAATGTGCTTGTGGTCTATTTTATATTTCAGATTTACCCCAATACAGCAAGACGACAAAGCCGGACCATGCTCGCCCACTAACCATGCTTCAAACTACTTGATTTCTTTTCCTTGCAGAGGGTGGGTGGCAAACCGCAACAAGGCGTCTGCGGATGGGATTTGGCATTTCGCGGCATGCCTGCTGATGTGGGGTAGGGAGGAGGGGGGGGGGTCTTTTTCTTCCTCTTCTTCTGGGCCCGCCCTGGTTTTGCCACGGTAGCCATGCGTGATCGGAATACGCGTAGCAGGCCGTGTGCAGCAGCAGCAGCAGCCCGGTCTGCAGGTGAGGGCCGCGCCCGGGGCGTGCCCCCGGCCCCCGTGGCTCAACAGGTGAAGGGCGGCGGGGAGGGGCGGGCTGGAGCAGGAGGCCTACGGGCCGGGCGCGCTTGCTGACACGCAGTGACACGGTGCGCATTAATAACTCCTTAACAGTTGCGGCGTCGCCGCACCTAAACACTGAACACACCTTCTGCCTAAACACTCACCACCCATTGCCTGAACACTGAAACACCCTCTGCCTGAACACTGAGCACACCCTCTGCCTAAACACTATGACCACTCATTGCCTGAGCACCGAACACCCTCTGCCTGAACACTGAACTCCCACCACCTAAACACTGAGCACCCTCCTCCTGAAACTGAACACCCTCTGCCTGAACACTGAACACCCTCCGCCCGCCCTGCCGGCCTCGCGACGTCATATACATTTTTCTTTCCCCCTCATACCCTTTCTTGTTGGGTCGGCGCGGCCG